CCACCGCGCCGGCAAGCGGGGGGCTGCGCCGCTCGCCGGGCGGGGCGGGGCGGGGCTCCTCGCGGCTCCTCCCCCTCTCCCCCCGCGGGGCTGGGTCGGGAATGATACCTTGTATCAGGCGAGCCGAGACATCGCGGAGGAGGAGCCGTCGGGCTCATACAAAGTATCATTTCCGAACCAGGAGCCTTGCCCGGCTTGTCGTCCCGGGCGTCCCTATTTGCTCCGTCCCCTTTACGCCGTATTTGCAAGAACAAGGGTGGGCTGCCACGGGAGCCACGGCTTAGTGCTCCCGGCATCACACGGGCCGGGCTGTGCACGCGTGCTGGGGAGGAAAACGCGGGTGCGTTGCTAGGACTCGTTCCCTGGGCTCCGCAGGTGCTGATGCTTGGAAGGTGCAAGTGTCACAGTCCGCTCTGGTAGCGGTCGGGAGTGACTTTCCAACACTAAGGAGACTACTCTGGTTAATCTTTCAAGGCCTGTTAACACCTTTTGCAGTGCTGAGTTGTTAACGTCCGCGTGGCAGTTTCCAAGTGCCCTTTGCTCTCTGAGCAGTGTGATCTGGGCCCCGCGCTCTTGAGGGCCGGGCACCGCCAGGGAAGTTAAGGCAAAATCAACTCCATAGGCTAAAGGGCTGTGCAGCGATATATACATCCGTTAAAGCAGTTTAAACCCTAATGTGGATGTTCCCAGTTGCAATGAGAGTTGCCTTAAAGCTTGTCTACACAGCACATTTGGATTAAGGTGGGGTGTGGATTTCCAAGTGGAATGGCTATTGTGGAGGAAGCCCCTTCAGAGATAAGTCCTTAGATAATTGAAATCAAGCCATCCTCTTATAAGGCAATCAGGACTCGCAGTTGAGATGATATCTTTTATTAGACTCACAAAAGTTTTACAAAAACATTTCTTTAATTGCAAGATTTAATTCAACAAGATTTTTTGCAAAACAATGTCTTTGTCTAATAAAAGATATCATCTCTACTACCAGTCCTGCTTGCCTTTGCCTTTTCCTCTAGACCAATAAGGCTACAACCTGGATACCTGACATCCTCTTATAAGGTTAGCTATAGCAATATACGGCTGGAGTATTTCACTTCATCTGCTTATGGGTTTAACATGTTTTAATTAGACATGTTTAGACTGAAGTGATGAGCTTCTATAGAGCCGCCCCCAAATATCTCTGCACAATGGTAAAATGCCTCTTTTTTTCTGTCTACATTAATGTTGTCACTACTTCTTCCACAAATGAAATCATCATAAAGCTCACATTGAGGCAATATAGAAACGACCTTACTTTTTGTTGCTCATTCCTAATTTAAATGCTAAAACAGAACATAAAGCAGCACATTTGCTTTCAAATTCAAATGAAAACCTCAGGTTGCTCTCCATATAGTGGAGACTTCATTAGTGGGCTCTCAGTACACACACGTCATTGGAAAAATCTCTTGTTCTTTCAAGTACCTCCAAATCCAATCCCAGTTTTGAAGTAATCTTTGTGGGAAACATCTGTGAGACTGTCAGCAGCTTGTATTGCCTTAATTCCTGATTATGCTGCTGTTGGTCTATAGCAAAGTTGTACACTCAGGAATAATGGGCTGGAATTTGCTCTCAGTCACACCAGTGTTGATCTATAGTAGGTTTGTTGACCTCAGTGCATCTATACCTTTGTAATCTTTGTTTCTTTTGATTTACAATCTCTTGCTGTCAACCTTTCCTCATCAGTTTTTTCCTTTACCCTCTTTTGGCATGTGATTTGTTGAGAAAGACTCTTTTGCACAACCTACAAAGAAACTGCTGCAAGTGGAGACAGGTCAGTCAGCATCTAACCATTGCAATATACTGTATTTTTTCCTGGGCTGAGGGAAGGTGTTTATCTACCTTCAGAGTCCATCAGAAAAGTTGCTATCACTGCAGAGAGGTGGCATGAAGCATTAACTCCTAACACAATAATGGCAACAACAAATGCAGCCTCTGTAGTGTCCCTCGGCTGGCTAAGGAGAAAACTACTAGCCAGTCCTTGTTTTGTGCGTCTTGGTGTCTTTCTTGTCATGATTCGATCAATCAATCAACTATTTCAAGTACTATGGCACTTAAAGACATTCCCATTCACACCAATCAGTAGCAATAGCAAAATTTTTAAAAATAAAAACGTACCAGTTTCTGCAGCTTGTTCATTCTTCCTTGATATGTTTTCTCTCAGTCTGTGTCTGCAAAAAGTCTCTTGTACTCTGGGAAGCATTTTAAAGGTTTATTTTACATCTCCAAGGCAGGAAT